TGATGGCGGCGGTGGCTGTCACGCCCTCGTCTGTGTAGTCATAAGGGCACCCGGCCAGTCCCGCCGTGCTTATCTTGCGAAAATTACCGTTACGAGCGTAGTGGCACGCTTGGGGGCGGTCTCAGCCGCACCAGCTATCTGCGCCCTTCCTCGTCTCCGCACTTCTCTATCTTTGTCTTGACACTGGGTACGGGTGTGGGAGTGGTGAAAGACTGGGGTAGATAGTGCAGGAGTCTACTTTCATTATAATGCAGCTACAGTCAGGTTGCTGAAACTCGTGGTGGACAACGTGAAAAACGACGGTCGAACTATCACCCAGGTCGGGCCAGTCTATGTCGCCCGGACCTATCGCCACAAACACAGGGGTTAAGTAAGTTAAACCCTAGCTAATGCGATCTTCAGGCCATGATTCCTTAGTAGAGAAGAAGTCAATGGAGACCAGAATAGTAGGAACAGTATATTGTGTACACAGAAGAACGAATAATAAAAAGGGAAATGGATTGACTACGGAGAGCACGACCTTCCGCTGGAGAGGCGTGATCCGAAGTGCGGATTAGTTGGAGGAAATCCCCGCGGCCCAGAGAGCAAGCGTTCATGCGTGCAGGCTTGCTATTCGTCGCCGGACCAGAAGGCATTTTTGCTGCAACTGTGATTGGCTGTTCCCAGAACCGCGGTCGTGAGATTCTAGTGGAGTTCACTTAGACGCGAGCTAGTCACGACAGATCTTTAGCGAGTGTGAACGATCGATAATGCGGTCTTACGCAAAGAACAAGTTAAGACAAGCCGGGCAAGGTAGCCACGCCAATAATGAACTCAACTGCCTACGCCGACCAGTGTAGAAAAGGGACAGCGGGTCAAATATCAGCTAATTGATACCGTAACTCACAGTCATAGTTGAAATATTGCGCGCGACAGTGATATAGCCAAACTTCAGCAGCTAAAGGCAAATGTCAATTAAGGAAATTTCTAATAGAACAAGGGGTTGTGTAGAAATAAAGGTATGACAAAGGGCTACCACAGGCCCCTCTATCGCCCCAATTGGGTGTATTTTTGTGTGTCTTTTCGGTGCAGGTGGCAGAGAGTGAGAAAGAGAGAGAGGTCACCACGACAGGCAAGGGCTGTGGGTCGGTCGCTTCCTTACTGTGGTCGCCGATAAAGTGAAAAGGGTATTCATGTCTCTTGGGTTTCCCCGAAATAACAGCGCGTACTTCAAAAAATAGAACGGAAGTTATTACCGGCGCACATTTGTACTCAGTCAAGTATTTGATCCCCTGGAGTTAACTTTGTTCATCATCATTAAAAAGATTCCAGATTGTCATCCTCTTTCAGTCCCTGGAAGATTAGATCTTTTGACTAATTGGTTTGCACACTACAGGAGCTGTAAACGTCCACCGTGGAAAAAATTAAAGGAAAGACTTTTTAATCCACAGAATTTCTTACGACTGATAATTTTAATAACATAAATATCTATACGATAGGCAAGTATACTCACCACGAAACACGTTCGTTACGGTCCTATAGCTTCTTCACAACGCGTGATTAACTCACGAATTGAGGCAAATGTTCGCATCCCAGATATGTGCGTAGATAGAGAACTAGAAGGCGTTTGGATCACCGGAATCACAGTGTTACTTGTCTGAGCTTCCGGGCTTTATCCGGAGTCCATCGCCACAGATAAAAGACGTTAACGAAAGACGAACAACAGTTATACGAGGCAGGAGCCAATCAACCGTTGACGTCTTTTATTTCTGATGATGGGCTTCAGATAGAGCCCGAAAGCTCAGACAAGTAAAACTGTAATTCCGGTGATCGAAACGTCTTCTACTTCTTTATCTACGCGTGATTAACTGTTTTACTGCTTCTACGACAGGTTCTAATTCAATTTCAGTTGGGTTTTGTTTCAGGGTAAACATTTTTGTACGCCTATACGTTTGCATCACCTTCACATAAATCTTTCGTAAACGGTAACTACTTTTCGATTACAGCAAAGATAATACATGTACTGAGTCCGTTAGCCCGTCTGCTTGCCTATTTCGACAGACTCCGTTGCATCCCCCACACGGACATTTTCAGTTAGCGACGATTACGTTTAGACGACACCAAGGGACACATACCCACTTACTTGGTTTATGGGTTTCCTTCGTGTCACTCTTTCACTAAATAGTTAACTTCGCCTCAAAACCCAGTGCACGCCCCTCACTCCAGAGCCTACTTTTACTGTAGTTGGTTTGTTGTCAGGCTTTGGAGATTATTTTGTTGAGACAGAAGATAAAGAGGAGCAACTTAGACAACGGCCATGCAAAATCAAAGCAGCCATACGCCCCGAAGACAGTTCAGCAAACACCAGTTCCCTAGTTATGGATGTTTAGTTGAAGAGTTGAGTTTGCATCAAATCTGACTTCTGACGGCATATTCTGGCAACGAATTTACACCTTAATTCACCGCAAATCTCCCTCACCGCCAAAGCGAATACTTTGATAAAAGACCATTTTTTGTCCGCCTCCGACTGGTGTCCTTCATTTTGCCTTCCTGCTTTTTCTTCCCGTATAGTACAACTTGAATGATTCGGTCGGCTATCTGTTCCGGGTTCGCTCAATCGGTCTAGCGAATCTCCACAGTGATTGGACAGATGTGGTTGCCGTTAAGAAGGCGCAATCGCCTAAAACTAGCCTAGTCACTGTCAGCGGACTGAAGTGCCAACTGGTGGAACAAACGCCATCCGACCGTTCCGCCAAGAACACAGAAGTAGAACTCTCGTGGAACCCCGTCAGTCTGCCGGCCGGTGTGCAGTTGGTTCATTATCTGGTAGGTGGTCAATTAAATATTTACTATACACTACCTACTTAAATCGATTTGAATAACACTTACATTTAACGTTGACATTTTAGGTTAATTACACCGGCAACAGCATTTTCCTGGATGCCGACGGTCACCGGATAAGAAGAGTGCAGTCAGAGCGCGAACAGTCTCTTCGCGCACCGGACACCTCGTCTGCAGGTTTGGTCAAGCATCGGCTGGTTGGACTGCAACTAAACACAGTCTACAACATCGACATTACGCCGATATTCAGGACGGAGGGGAAACCGGAACTGGTGCCAATTTGCGGAGTGCCCAAATCAGTGTTCTGCAGAACACAAGCAAAGCGTATGAGAATAAATTTGGATAAAAAATGCATTTACTTTCCGTGCCAGAAAGACAGCTAACTGCCCTTTTCCTCCCACAGACAGGCTTCGATAATTTCACGCCCAAGCAGAAGTGTTCACTGGGTAGGGTTGTTTTAAGAGGTCTGAAGTTTGTCGTAGAAATTCCAGCCGTTCAGAAGCTGAACCCGGTGCATTCCTTGCGGCGCTATCAGTATAAGGTCTTGGATTTGTACATTCATTCAGTTTGCCGCGCCCGCTGATTGGCTCACTGTACATATCTGTTATTGGTCCATGCACAAGCACCAACTGGAGCCACAAAAGTCACATGTTTTATGTCAACACGACTGGCTACCAGTTGGACACCTGAGAAGTCAGTGTTAGGGGTTGGAGTGATGACAATTCGGTAGGGACAGCCCAGGAACCATGACTTTGAGATTAGCGAACCCCTGTGTCCCCAACTGAGAACCACTCGGACGACCAAGTAGAGCGGTTGAATAGGCGGCACAAACGATAGCAGCTAATGCCTAAATGACGGAAATTGTATGCATGCCCGCGTCAGATGAAAATCATATCGTGTCATCTACACCTTAGTAACTTATGACATTCTTTTTCATGCGTTTCCGCATCTTACGAGTGGAATTATGCGTTGGTATTCAGACCTTAAGTCGTATTATTGCGATAAATGAAGGTGGCATGACAATGTGTTGACATCTTAAGTAAAGTCGGCAGGTTTCATTGTAATGGCGCTAGCGGATGAAAAATGCCGTCAAGGCCATAATAACAGTTTATATCATTAAATAGGGCTACTATATGTTTGTTAGTAGCTTTTCTAAGTTTGCGTAATTTTACTGATACGCTTCGAAACACATCCGGACTCATTGTTATGATTGTCCTCCCTTTCAGCGCCAGACTTTGTGCCTCCGCCTGACTTCCTATTCAAACCACGTGCTGTGGACAGCGTTCTCACCTTGTATCGGGCCAGTGAGGAGGCCGGCTCAATAGCCGCCTATGAGATCATTGTGCGGGACGCGATCAACGGAGGTGACGTGGAGGATACAGAGGCTAAGTCCATCCTGCTGGCACGGTTCCCTGCAGTCA